GTACAAGAATATTCTTCCACTCTTAACAAGCACCCTCTGTAAAAGGCTAGTAAGAAGACTGATTAATAGGATTCTACTCTGAGAAGATTAATAGAGGACTATGGGAGATTTCTGTATAAAAGTACGTTTATTGGGAAAACATTTTAATAGAGAAAACTATGGGGAGAATATAAGAAAAATATTTATATTTGTGAGCAATTTGACAACTAACTTCATGAATTACCACCCTTAGGAAATAAATGCAAGATATTCTGGAGACATTATTTACAAATGGCTGGATAATAAGAAAACCACTATTTCTTGTTACACTATTCTAAATATTAATAAACAATTATAATAACACTGAAATAATGGAGCAGAAACAATTGCATAAATTGTGAAAGTATTTTAGACCAATTCTTACTGCAAAATATTGCATTTTGGGAATCAGATAAGAATCACTTCTAAGCTCAATGCAAGACTTGATTTTTTTATTGTATAAGAATAATATAGATAGCTGTTACTCATTTTCAAGTCACAAGAGCCCTCTCCTCCCACACAGAATACATCCTAATCTTTTTTTATCTTTTACGGAGTATTTCTGCAATCACTGTAGCTAACATAATTCTTGTAATCTACTAAACTCTGTTTTTAATTCACATTAAGCATTTCATTGTTCAGAAGCAAATTCTGGTCTGGGACAAGCCAGCAAGAATGGAATTAGCAAATACTTTAAACAAATTCATCATAAAATATCTTCACTAAAGTTTCCATCTTGAATAACACAAGTATGTATATAGGCTAAAATATATAAAAAAATATATAAAAATATATGAAAAGTAGGACCTGCACTAATTCAAAAATCTAACTTAAATAGTGAAGATTCTACAAATAAAAAGGTAACACAGCAATTTTGAAGATGACTATTAAAGAATTTCTACAAGAAAGCAAAGAACACACTTGTGAAACAGGTTTTGTTTTTAACTAAGGACACCTAGAATGATAAAGCATATCCCATTACCACACATACATAAAAAAAATATGATAACCACTGATAAAAATAAGTAGTACTAAAGCCTTGCCATTATAGAATTAGTAGAACATCTTTATCTCTCACCAAGGTACTGGTGTTTCACTACAACTACAAAATTTACCTCCTAAGAGACTTCAAGAAACAAAACTAAATTCTATCTCTAAACCACAGATTTTCCTACCTCAAATCAAGTCCAGTAAAGAAGCAGAAACTACATCAGTGATACCTCTTACATTTCCAAGATTTAAAACTACCAGCTGCTGGGTAGGTAGTTTAATCACTGTTGTCCTGTACACCTGGGGTTTTACACAACTGTGCAGAATTGTGTTAAGCATGACTTAATCTGATGTTCAATATGTTCAATTTTCTTTGCAACTGTGCCTGATGGGAGGACTATGGTGGTGACATAGTTTATTGCACGTTTTTAGTCTTCAAAACCTTTAAAGTATGTAAAACTGGGTAAGATTTTGAAGCTGTAGAAATCAACATAATTTGGTTTTATTATAAATTTAAGTATTATACTTTGCATTTGTTTCTATATTTTCTAAGAACAGTTCTGGGTTACATGCAAATAATATGTCTAGGTGGGGATTTTAGGTATTTGTTACAGTTAAATCTAGACAAACAGCACTTACAAGAAGAAAAGGATTATAATGAGAGCAAATTTTTCCTTAAAGCAAAGAAACCTGTTCTTGTCATGTAGAAATGTGGAAAATGCCTTATTTTTAATTTGGATTTTTTTTTTTTTTTTTGCACCAGTTTGCTGTGGAAAAAGGGAAAGAATATATTTTGCACAAAACATTTCAATACCTCTTGTGCTACAGAAGCTGGGTGAATATCTGTAAATATTTTAATCACAGCTTACAGCTCTGAGGCAGACCTCAGAAGCAATTAAATATTCAGGTGGTGAGGCAAATGCTGAAGAGGTCTAACTCACACCCAGCTGGGATTTGCTTTAGCTAGCTCAAGGCTAATATGAGTATTTTAAACACTGCATTGCTAATGCACTTTGAAGGATACTGACTGATAAAATGGTTTTGAGAGTAACAGAAATTTTATTTCAACTTATATTTTACATATTTTAGACCTTCTTTAGAAGGCAGATACCCTAGAATGTTTCAAATCACTCTGTAGCTTCCTAGGTGTTAGGTTGGAATCTGGGTTGCTCAGAAATGTAAGAATTCTTCTGACCAGTGACAAAATATTCATTGTAAAAAATCTGATTTTCTGCTAGTAGAACTTGCAAGTTAGACATTGAACTTTGAAAAAAAAAAAAGGTTCTTGAAATCTAACTGATCATTTTCTTTTGGATTTCAACACTAAGATTCTAGTTGTAAGCTCTGTTGTCAAAATATTATGTTTTTTTCTATTTGTAGTACAAAGCTACTTTGGTCAAATTTCATTACTCAGACCATAACACACACTGTTTTACTTTCAGGTGTGTATGGCTATGATCATCTAAAGAACTGAAAATTTAAGAGGCTTTCATAGTCAAATAACCTTCTAATACACACCTTGTCTTTACACCACATTTAATGGTTTCTTTAATTATACTAAGATTCTGCAACATTGTTTTCTTTTTCCCCATAAGAAAAGTAGCAGGATAAAGAAGGATTCTAGCTGAAGTTTGTATCGGCTGAGGGCTTCGAAAATTGAGCTACAGAAAAAGCCATGAAAAGGGAAGAAAGCCAGTTATAAAGATTACTTGAATCCAGGATAAAATGTGAGGCATAGAAAAGCAGTAACACGCTAAAAGATCAGAAAAAAAACTATTGATTCTTTCGAAGGCCTTTTGCTCTGGTGTCAGTTGGATGATTTCATAGTTGCTAGTGCTTGATGCTGCTTAAATATCAGCTGTATTCATTATTGTGCTGGACAACTTTTTGAGTGCCTGGTGAAATAACTTAGTGAGTTTCTTGTCGCCATTAAACTATTGTTACTCACGACTTTAGGAAATGTGGCTTCTGGTTTTCTTCCCAGCTGAGGCAAAACAAAACAAACAAAAAAACCCCCACAAAAATCCTAACTGTTTTCTACTTTAATCACACTTATCACACAGACTTCCAAAAACAGCCTTTGCAGTGGCTGTGTTATTGAAATTGGTTTATCTGGGAAAAATCTGAAGAGCTGAAGCTTGGTTTCTATAGATTTTATTGCTATATGCAAATGTAGAGACTATGGCAGCCCTGGCTCAGGCCCTTTTCTGCATCTCCTGCTCAGCAGATTTTGCATGTGCCAAATGACTTGCTCTTACAGTTCTCACAGCAGGTAACTGTTCAGCTTGTTCCATAGCCCTTCTTTATGCAATACAATACTTCCCTAATATCTATTTTTACTTTCTACCTATTCAGAAGTCTTCACAAAAAGCTTATATCTTTTACACTTTCATTTTGTTTTTCTGGCCAGTTTCTTAAAAAACTGTAAATATTTTGAATTAGTATGATAATGGTGTGAAGATTGTTTACCACATATATTACAAACCAGAAATCCAGTCTAATGAAACAATTGTCTAAGAAAAGTGCTTTAGAAAACTGGATTATTTTCATTATCAAAATACAAGAGAATGGTCAACTATTATTGCATCATTGATGTTTTGCTCTATTTTTAAACCATATAAAACTCCCATTTAGAGAAAATATTTCTGAAAGTAGCACAGACATTCTTCACTTGCTCTGCAATATGTGGGTGGTTTTAAACAGGCTTGTCTTTTTCCACTGCAGCAAATTAACTGTTTCCTGGATGTATATATAGGATACACCATAAAACTCCTTTTCATATCCAGAAAGGACAGTGATGTGACTAGATGATACTATGAAACTGTTTAGAAATTCCAAGTGATTAAGCTATTATAGATAAAAATCCACTATATATTTTTCTGCATGCTTTCTCATCTGGAAAGAACCACCTCCTTTCCCCAACATTCAGACTTTGGAGTCTCACCCAAACATCACTCAAGTGTTTGCTGTCTCTTAACCCCTGAGCGAGCCTTGGTTTGCTCTCTTGGCTCCACAGCAGCGCTTACTTGAGGGCTCGGTGCTGCCCGTGCTGTGTGTGAGTGACCTCTTCAGCCAAATCGGTGTCACTACAGAAAGCACACTCAAAAGCAGTGCATCAACTTCCGAAATAAATAATTTTTGAGGTGCAGCTGCCGTATTTTTCCTCTCTTGAAGATCCATAATGAAATAGAGATGAAGGGGGATTTTTTTTTAGTGGAAACTTTGAAAAAATAATTTTTGATAGTAGCTGATGTGTCTTCTTTCAGTTGCCAGATGGAGAATTATTAATAATTATTAAATAAAACCAATATGAGAATGGACCATTAAAGTGTATTCATTTGACTGTCAGGGAGCTTTGCAAAAGCCCAAAAAGTTAGCATCAATCATATTTTCCAGAATTCAATAATGGCTGTATCTACAGACTGCTACCATAGCACAATTAAGCGTGTCAAAAGGGAAATAAGACAGAAACTACAAATTAATTTATACTGATGTGATTACTTAAAAGTATACTTGATTTTGCAATAATCTACTATTATGTCAGCAATGTTTCTCATTACTCATTTTGCTCAGTCATTAAAAGCCTTCTTATTTTCTGATTCTGCCTGAGTTAAGATTCAGAAAAACAGTTTACATGGATCTTGGACACATTCTAATTAAAGACTGTATCTTCTTGAGATATGCTCTTTAGGAGCAAGTAGTCTCTTCTTTTACCTGGATTAATGACATAACAATCACACAGAATGTTGCTAGAGCCAATTCTGTTTCTAATTTTGCCATGTGGCTTTTAAATCAAGTAGAATTTAATTTCCCAAGCAAATAGAGTGAAACATTCTAGTGAAATAAAGACATTAGAATATGTTATTATTTGTGCTTTGTAAAACTGCATGATTGACTGCTCTTACGTGACTGCCTCTAGGCAGGTCACTGTCATATCTGTCCTTGGGTATCTTCCACAGTCAGGTGATGGTATCTGGTGACTTAACACTTACCTGACATCAGGGACTGGGTTGCCAGCAACTCTGCACTCCAGCAATACTTTGTTTCCTTCAGCAACTTCCTGGCTCCGGAGCTTCTGAGTGAATAGAGGTGGTGAAAGTTCATGCTCTTCCATGTTGATGAAGGGACGGCACAGGACCATTTTGCTCTCCATGATGCTCCCCCTTCCAGAATAGTATTTTTCATTCAGATGAACTCCAGGTAATTTTTCCTCAGGCTCAGTCTCTTGATGTGGTTTGTCAAACTCCTGGTTCACCAAGGTACTTAAAACTGGTTGTTTCTTATTAGGAGACAGGTATCCACTGTCCGGAGAAGAAGAGTCCCCATCAGGACTACGGCCTCTTGTCTTTGCTGCCTGCCTAAATATAGATGATAATTCCTCTATGAATGTGGCAGCTTTGTCACACAGCTTGTTCCTGAAAGGAGCTTCCCCCTGGGATGTTGATTCAGAGTTTGGGCTTGTCTTAGGCATACATGGACCACCTTTCTCTGAATATTTCAGGCTTCTGACAAAGCTGGGACTAGCAGGTAGAAAAGGTGAGGTGCTTGCTTGTCTCCTAGAAACTGTGACAAAACTATCCTCTGTCTGAGGTGCAGTGGATTGCTCTTCCTGATTCCTTGGGAGAACATGACTTGCAGCAGATGAAGTCCAACTGCTTGCTTGAGGTGTCTGTAAAGTGTCTTGCTCATGCAGGTCGGTGTCCCTGAAAGAAGTGTTTTCTGAAGGGCTAGAAAGAGAGGTGTTGAGATAATGAGTAAAGTCTGGAGCTGTGTTCTCATCTTCCTCCATGGAATTGGCAATGGCTTCTCGAGCTATGTCAAGGCTCTTACTTATCTCCTCCTGGGTAAGGAAGGCAGAAAGTTCATTTGAAAATTCACCATTCTGCGTGTCTGACAGGGAATCACATAAAAAGTCACGGTAAGATGAAGCTTCCGACATACTCTCAGAATATCCCTTACTGCTACCTTTCTCTGGAGAATAAGTCTCCTTCAGCATTAAAGAAAGAGGCAATGCCTGGCCACAGCTTCTGTCTTGCATCCTGGAAGACAAAAGAACAAGTGCTTAATGAAAAAAGATATATCCTAGTTCCCATAAAGTAGACACAAAGCTGGAAGATAAGCAGAACCTAATGGTGCATGACATACCATAAACTTTGGAATCTATTAGAATGAGCCAGGACTGTAAATTGTTTAGGTGGAAATGAGAGCACTTAGGAGTCAATTTTCTAATTAATCTTCCCCCAGAAGTATGAAGTATACTTTGTCTGTATATTGCCTAGCATAATCTTGATTCCACTGGATCAATATATGTATATAGTATATATGCTGTTATTTCACATCTGATTAGTTATTTTGCATCAGTGCTATAATGCTTCATTTTTTTTCCTGGTTTTAGCCTTATGAAGATATTGGGAATATATTTACCTTCCTCTTTCCCATAACATTGTCTTCCAGACACTAAACCATCAAATTCTGAGAGAAGCGTCCAAGCTGAAACCATTATGAGGATACACACGAGGAGATTTGGATTAGAAATTCCAAGTCATCCTTTCTGCATAATGTTGATAATGTGTTTAATATTATTTTAATTATTGTGCTAGCATTTTTAACTTGTTACCAATTTAGTAGCACTTTCCTCAACACTGAAAAATATCAAGCTACCATATGCTAAAAGTAAAGCACTGAAGAAATAGATTTCAAAACCTATATATCAACCAGCACAATGGAAGTGTATAATGTATATTTTGTACCAGTTTCACAAAGCAAAGAAGCACTTATACCTCTCCAGCTTCCCAACATGACTTCAGAATTAGGATGAGTACTTTCTTTAAAGTCAGCAAGAAACAAGACATCAAGGAAACCACACTTTCCCCAAGAGAGGGACTGGACAGAAAATTTCCTTGTTGAAATGTATTTTACCAACTGGTCACTAGATTGTGGCTGGTGTTTTCTGGAACATAATTATTGTTTCTGCAGAGCATTTAATTAAGTTGAAGATCAGTGGTTTTAATTATCCTGGAAAATTCTCTTCTTCTAACAAAAATTTCTACAAGAAATTTTTTTTACATAAGATTTTAAAAATATATTTTCCTTTAATTCTCTATTGATAGTGGAGAAATGGCTTGACAATCATGCAATGCACTCGGATGTATTTTACATCAGCTGTGCAGGCTCCAATTACCTTTAGTCACTAAACCAGGGCTTACCCAGCATGTAGTCATTAAATGACTGATAGATTATTAGAATTCTTGGCTTAGCATATGTATCTCTTGATATGCCTGTTTTCTTGCCAACAGATTACAACTCAACGGATAAAAGAGAAATATAAGAAACCCAAAGCATTTAGGATTTGATATATGTTTTTATAGAATTCAGGGATAAGTTTATTGTTTTCTGGGATTACATCTTCCTTTCCTGTTATCTGTATTTACAAGGCAACAAATTTAGCAACCATGCCAATCTCTTGTCAACAAAATCTAAAAAAGTATATACAGTATAACTGACTACCACATAGCAGCTTTAAAGAAAGAATCTGAGAAGCCCAGCAAACAGTTGGTCTAGAGGCTCAGCTGTTCAGGCATAAACTGGATGAATGCCAGGAAAATAAGGGTTAAACCTGCTGAGTTTCTGCTTCTCTAATCTTAGTTATTTTTTAAAACTTTGTATTCAAATGAACAAAGGTGCTATTTAGACAACATGTAAATATGCGTCCTTCAAATGATATCTTTGTTTAAATCTGACACACACTGGTTCTTAGCTTGTTCACATCTCAAAGTGACACATTACATACGCAGATTAAGTTCCCTGACTTCCAACACTGAGCTGCTCTAATGTTTCAATGGGCTGTTTCATGGCTAGGAGGACAATTTTACTTATTGTTAGCCACCCAACATGATGATTAAAATTAATATGTTATGAATTAACATAATTCTTACCAATACTCAGCTTTGTCATTAGAAAAATATAGTGGCTACATACATTGTAATTTCAAAGTGTGGTGTCTAAATTTAGCTGAATCAGTCTATATCTGGATATTTAGATAAAGTTGATGGATTTAAACATGCTGGTTTATTGGCAATTTCTAATGCTGATAAGCCTTCTTGGTGAGAAGGTGTCTGAAAATGGATTTGTATATCTAGCTTTAGGAAGCTGAATAGAAGCTTCCAGGAGAAAGACCTTTTTCAGCCATACTGTAATACATAAACTCACTATTCTTTTAGTGAAACTTGTAACCACAGTGAATTGGAGGTTAAGTATCACTAACCCTATCAAGTAGCTTATAAGAACATAATTAGAAATTTTGAATGCTATTTCTAGCTTCTCCAAGTTAGACTAGAATGTATTTATAACAGTTTTCATCATCTTTACTCATTAGGTAACCTGCAAAGCCATATACTGTATCATTTAAAGACACAAGCGTAAAATACAATGTTGCATGCAGGTAAACACTGTACTGTCAACATTATTACATACAGACTATTTATGGAGTCCTACTTGTATATATTTAAAAATTATGCCCAAGTAAAATCACATTTTTTTATCATGCAGTTTAAATACTTATTCAAAACCCAATACAGATGCTCAAAAGAATCATATGGTAAATATTAAATTTGAAATGTACTGGATTACAATAATTTCAGAAAGAAACAGAGTAATCAATCAAATTAAGGTTTTGAAAAGATATATAGTAAAATACTGAAAAATATAGAAAATTAAAGGACTCATTTCAAGAAAAATATAAACACCCTAAATTTTCAGAACCTGACAAATAAAAAATTATTACTTAACATTGCCCAAAGCCTGTCTCTTCAAAAGAATCATATGAAGGATGAAATGTATCAAGTAAGATTTTTTAAAACAAAAAAGCACATAGTTTTTCTCTGAATTTTGAAATCCTGCAAAAATACTCCACAAATGCAACAATTACATTTAGCAGAAAATATAAACTAGATCTTACAATGAGCAGTTCAATATGAAGAATTCAAGTATAATTAATAGTAGGTTAAGTTGTTTTTCTCCTTCTCTATCTGAATAGGCTTAAAGTTGCTCCAGCTCTTCACTACAGCTTTCTTGGTCCTTAGACGAGAAGACTGTGGCCTGTGCGTTACATCCGTCCTCTGCGACTATGAAATTCGTACCCCACTCAGCTATATTTGGTAACTGAACTCATGTTTCAGCAGACTGCCACTATCTGGAATTCCAGCAGAAGCAACGTTAGGCCTGGAAGTGGCACAAAGTTCTGTGTGCTTACAACTCAGAAATTCACAGAACTTAGCCATTCCCTTTTTATAGCATTTTATGGTAGTAGATCTTTAATTTTTTAAACAGAATTATTTTCATGATAATAAAATAATTGCCTTTTTCTACTAAGAATAGTTTAAAATCAATAGCTTCCTTGTGTACCTTAAAATCTTGTAGAAAATAAAAAATTAGAATCATTCAGGTTGGAAAAGACTCAACATTTTTGGAGTTACGAGCAGAAATATGGCAAATTTTGTAATAATTGATCGTTATTAATCTGTAATTATATACTACACTGTATAAATAAATTAACTTACTGAATATCACATCTCAAGTGAAATAATACTGTAATCAGAAAAGAAGTATCTCCCTCATAAAATACACAAAAAATCCCTGGAAAGCATGGGCTTTAAAAATACCCCACAACTCTGACACACGCATTAACACTGAAACAATCAAAATACATTTTTAGTTTCTATAGAGTTGTAGAGCATAATGTGTAATAGCCAATTCTCCCTTACTGTCTCTGCTAAGAAAGTACTTTCACCTCATTAAACCTCCTGTGAGACTTCAGTCCCAGGGAAAAAAAAATCTGTCCAGAAGCACTTTTTCAAGCACATAATTTCTGTTAAAACTCAGTGAAAGGAAGAAGTAAACATGAAGGCTGTTGGTTTAATCTACAGACTTTATCACATAGTTTCCAGAAATAAAAGCAATGTGTGGGCAACGTGGTTTCTGCCAGATTGCAACCTATTGGGAGTCACATGCTCCAGAGGGGATAGAAGAAATTATAGCTCCAAAGAGATGTTACAGACCTCCGTCCCTTCTGCCAGCATCCATTATATCTGCTCTCAGATTTGAAATTATTTTGTACACTGGCATTTGCCCTTAGCTCAAGGTCTTTTAGATACTGCCTTGCATTTTTTACTAAAATTTGTTCCTTGGCAACAATGGAGTGCAGTACATCTACTGTTGTGACAGAAGTGCATAGGAGACTCAGAGCTCCCAAGAGGATCCAGACCATCTTTATGTACTAACAAGTGCCAGTACCAAAGTACACATTGTATTTCAGTGGGTGATAGAGCATCTTGGCATCTTCATGCAGGCAATTACCGTCCCCTAATCACAGCTTGAACAGATTTACTGCTGGACTGGGAATACTTCACAATGTACACAAACACCATTTTTGCAGCTTGAGCTCCTTACAATGTTGTAATGAAATTAATTAAAAGGATTTTATTTCAGGTAATTTTATAGTGATTTCAGCGTGGCAAGTTAGAACAGAACCATGATTCTAAAAATTTCAAGCCGAAAACTGTGCACAAAGAAGGAGATGGTTATCCAAGAGTTAACCACTGTATCCCTAATTTTTAGGCAGTCACCCCACAAAGTAAAATCAAGGTCCTTTTTCAGGCACCCAGCTTCTCCACTAAATGCGTTTTGCCACCTTCGAATGGGAGTCAAAAATAGCCTGCATATAAACAGCAACAAGCTGCCTTGGGCTATCTTCAGCATTTTCTGCAGGGAGTGGGTGGATGAAATCCTGGTTCTTGCAATTATGTATTTAAATTTTCACTTCTGGGAAGAAAATATATCTGCTAGTAGATACCTGCAGAAATATTTTCAAATAAATTTAGCTTTTTGAATACAAATAAAGTATTGTTGTGTGTAAATCAAGTATGCCCCAATACTTTTTGTACAGCATGATAGAAACATTTACCCAGAAAGTAAAAGGTTTGTGTTCAATTAACTCCTCTACAACTGTTAATGAAATATTCTTCATAACTTGAAAACTTAATAGGGCAAGGTTTTATACAGCTCTATTAGGCCATGAATAAATTTTCCAAACATTGTTATTCTATAATTTAGGGAATGCTTATATCCTTTAATCTGCACTGAATATTTTGGAATCAAGAACTTCCATTTTTATTGCAAAAATAATGTGTATTCTTCTTTATAAAAGTAGTAAAAGCACTGTAACACTATAAAAAATGGCAAACAGACTGAAACTTTGGAGTAGTTACACATTTTGCAAGATAAACATGCTTTAATATGCAATGATGTAGCAATTTAGCATTTGCATATAATATTTTAAAATTAATAATAGCATCAAGCAAGATTAGAGATATACAGATTATATGCTTACTTTATTCCTATTGCAGTATTATGGAAAATTCAGCTGATAAACAGAACTCATGCAGATAACAGTTTTCACTACCAGTAGATTGGATGGAACACAGCTGCAGTTTTTCTGAAACCTTAATAATAGTTGCTAACACTATTCAGCTCGAGTCATTCCAAATCTCATGCCAAAAACCATAAAACTATTCTGGTTGTGCAAGTTTTCCATTCCATCTTATGAAGATGTTACATAATGCAAAAGATTTTCATCATTAATTGAGTAAAAGCAAAATACAGTAATAAGCTCTTTACCCTAATGATTAATGTACTTACCTGAGAAAGCAGAACACCTCTGTTATGGTCCTTGTTATTTTGTATCTTACTCTAAATAGCAACAGAGTCAAATACAAGTAGGCAATCTCCTTTCCAAGACCTGAAGTCAAACATCAGTATGCAAACTTCAAATAGAGATCTCTAAGAACTGCTTCTACTTTAAGTAGCAGAGAGAGATACAACCTCCTTTACCAGTTGCCACAGAAACCTCCAGTTATTTTGAGTTACTAACTGACATTTTTTTCCACCTTTGAAAGAGCAAAAAAATAATCTGGTTGCCTGTGCTTAAACAGACTGGGTCAATGTCTTGCTGTAGTTTGATGCCATACGTGCTTTGTTCTTTACTTTTCCCTCAGTATGCACAAAAGTATCTAATTGTGCTTGTAAATGCATAGTAAATTGATTTTTTTTTTCATAGCTAGAGCTAGTCTATGTTTTCATAGAGAGCATTGGAAATACCTACTTGTCATATATGTATGAAAGTATCAAATTTAGCAAGCAGTGTCAATGGTATTCAAAAACAATTTTCCCAAGTTTCTCTGAGGATTTTCTTAGGAGTGCAGTGGGAAAGCTTATATACCTTCAGCTTTTGCTAGCAGTTGTTTTGGTAATCTGTCTGGAAGAAACACAGCAATTGTTAAACTAAGAACAGTAATAATAACTCCTGGCCTTCTTTTACAGAGTATTTCATCAACAAAGAGATTGAGGGGCTGCAAGTAACAACACATCAATAAACCTGAAAATAGTACAATTTTCTAGAATTACCACAGCTGTGAATAGGAAACCATAAAACAGAAAGAAAGGCTAAATAACTCACAAATAACTAATACTATTCTGTAAATTAGGAAAGAGATGAAAACTTCTCAGTCCAAGATTGATAGTCTATCTGAGGTCTTGATGAGGCAAACTACCTCATATTGAGAAACTTGTCATTCTGCTTTCCTCATCTCAAGACTACTAGAACACTCATAATATCATTCTGTCTCAAGATGCCATCTTCTTTATTAGCTGGACAGGTAATAATGGAACACTTTTACAAACAGCTACTTGACCAGTGAGTGCCCCCAGCATCTCTTAAAATTTCAAAGGAATTTTGTTAGGAGTTGGCACCCCTGTGCAATGTGATTAATACACTTGTGCAGCTGGGAAGCACACTGTGCTCTCACGGATTTACCACAAAGGTGACACATAGGGTAAAGCTGTTTGATCTTTGCCAATAAACACTGTGCCCAGGCTAGAGATGTCTCTGTCCATGTTACCTGCGTGCGGGCAGTGCCCTGGGAAAGGCGGTGCTGGTCTGAGCCTGCCTTTTGCCAGGCCCTGTGTTTATCAGACTCCCTTCATGGCCATGTCACCACGACACGCTGGGTTCTGAGCCTGCCTCACTCCCTGGCCAGTCTCTGCACTCACACGCTGTGGTGCGTGAGGCGCTGAGGGGAAAACGCGCACGGGGCCGGGGTTTGGACAAGCGAGTGCGCTCCAGTGAATGGCGACCGTGCTGGAGGTGAAGAGGTGCCGGGCAGACCCCTCGAGAGCGGCTCCTCAGGTGGGGCAGGCAGGGTGAGGCTCTGTGGCGAGGGGCAGGGAGCGTGGAGGCTGCCAGTCTGTGTGGCTGTGGCGGCAGCAGGTGCCAACAGGCCAAGCACGGCCTGAGGGATGTGTTGCTGTGCCGTGTGCCACGGAGCTGCGGCCACACCGCACCCGCTGGGCCCACAGCCATGCCACGGAGCTGCGGCCACACCGCACTGGCGGAGGTCACCACTGTGAGATGACCTAGAGAAGGCCTTTCCACTGCTCGGTTCTAATAAAATATTTAAGGTGTCATATCTAGTGGTGTCAAAGAAAGGAAATGAGGTATCAACAAACTCTGAATTGACAGTCTTCTGTGGTTCAAGTAAAAACCACATTCCATTTTAGCATTTGGGAATGTACATAAATAAGAATTTAAGCAACCCTGGGTAACAGCTGATTTTAGTACAAAAACTGAAGAAATCGGTTTCATGATGAATTAAGAAGCAAGAGGGAAATGAGTAAAAGTTTAAGGCAGGACCAATGCAATCTCATAAGAATAGAGAAAAGGATAGAAAGGATAGAAAGGATAGAATTAGTCAGTGTAGCACATGGCAATATAATCGAGATTGTATAGTCTAGCATGTAAAGATTTCAAATTATATGATAAATGCAAGAAATGTAAGCTGTATGTACTCATTGTAGTCTTACATAATTTTCTAAAGAAAAGAAGGGAAATAAAGTAGATTTAAAACACTCTAGTGAAAAATCTGTGTCACAAAAGTAACGCTCTAACTTAAACAAGCTGTTTGTAAGAAGAAATGCAACCCATTGATGTTAGGTAGCTAATTTTTGTCCCGACTCTGCAAAGCAGAGTTAACACTAGTCT